GGGGCCGGACGGAGGTAGGAATGACTCCGTTTAAAGCCCCGTGTGAAAACGTCCATAGCCACAGTAATGGCCCTTTTAGAGGTCCCAAGTAATCTAGGGAGCTTATTATCGCTTGGCTTAATAATCCGTTTTACTTCTCCTGGTTTAAATTTCAATTCAGGCTGCATCCTGATCTTATCTGAAGGTTTTTGCCACTGAATTTGCTGCCCAAATACATCCCTGGTGCACCCCTGCTTCCAGGAGTGCTCCTCGTGGCTCTTTGCGGATCCAGTTTAAGAAAATGGCTGCTGGAGCACTCCTGGAAGCGGGGATGCACCTGGGATGTATTTGGGCGGCAAATTTGGTGGCAAAAACCTTGATAAGATCAGGATGCAGCTCAAATTTAAATTTAAACCAGGAGAGGTAAAACGGATTATTAAGCCAAGCAATAAGCTTCTAGTATAAGCCCGTTTTAGGACACAGAGAAGGGCTCTCTCTTTAAGAAAAAAAGTGATAAGAAAGAAATCCTTCAGGCACTCTAAACCCAAACCATTTAGGACTATGGGTAATAATAACCAATACAACAGGCAACTTCTGTCTTGGCATACTTCAACACCAGACTGGTTGTTCATTTTTAGTATCCTGTTAACAACAAGAACAATAATGAAGTGGGATAAATTTGTGTCACGAATCACTGTTACATTGATTAGAACTGCTTTAATCTATTAAAGTCAGCTTTTTAAAGTCACATCCTTTGTCAGTACAACTGAGAAAGCCCTCAACTAAGAGCAGACTTTGAAGTAGCTTGAGTTGATAGAACATTACAGAATAAACCTACAGGCTGAAATTATTCAAAAGCTCTATGTGTATGGGATTGTCTTGGGTAGGAGGCATGGGGAACTGTTAATATGACCACTGCAACCATTTGTTCAGCCAGATAGGATATCTGTCTCTTCACCTATGTGAGTAGCTGTGGTAGAAACATCACAGACACCTCTAGTTACCTTTGCATTTCTTTATAGCAGATGTATCTACCACTTTATAATGGCAGTCCTTGTGCTTTATACCATTTATTTCTTCCTGGTCTCCGTATGTGTTCCCATCGTAGAGATCCCTGTCAAGCTTCCTTTAAGATATAGAAACAAAGTAATGCCTAACATAATGCCTTTTTAAATCCTCTGTTATACCTGAAAATAAAACTTCCAAATGGATAGGACCAGCTGTCCACATGTATAGGGTAACCTGCCAAAATGGAGGCACCCAATCATATTACTTAGTGGAGTTTTTTTAAAGTAAATTATATAAAAGCTTTTCCAATAATCTGGCGCATATACATACTATTTAGATCTATCATAAACTACCTGTACATGAGTATGCAGAGAGATCTTGTAGCACCTTTGAGACTAACTGAAAGAATGAAATTGACAGCATGAGTTTTCGTGGCTTTAGTCTACTTCCTGTAGATGAGTAAAATGTCTTTGGAAGTCCCAGATTTTCTCCTGTATAAACCAATTTTATTTTGGAGATCTATATGACATTTTCCACATGACAAAGTATTTGCTGGGATCTTGTAACATTGCCAAAACTTTTTGCTTCCACTCCCCATGACAATTTAATGAAATAATGGCTATAGTTGGTCCAGATCCTTGACCACAACTGTGTTCTGCATTTCCCCCCCTCTTTAAAGCGATGTAGCAAAAACAGAGAAAGCAACTTCATACTTATACACTTCCTTCTTCTTCCCTTCCTTTGTTCTTTCTGCGTTCATGGAGCTTCAATCAGCTCTACCAAACTCTATTGTGCTCAACTGCTTTCTTAATAATGGAAGGGGCAACACATCACCACTATACCAATCTTTTGGAATCTTTGTGGGAGCATTGTTCTAATTACATTTTAATCTGAAATGCATTCATATACCCTGGCAATCAACCTGTGATTATTTCATTATCTCGTATAAAACAAATTATGTTTATAACCTCTTCTACTTATAGATCAGAGGCCATAACACTTGATGGGGGGAGGAGCAAAAATCAAATTTTGTTTAATGGTAGAGCATATGCAGATTTGCCAGATTCAGTCCTTGGCATCTCCACATAGGACTGAGAAGGATGCTTGTTTGAAGCCTTGGAGAACCACTTCCACTCAGTATAGACAATGTTGAGTGAATGATTTGCTTTTGTATGTGGCAGCTTCCTATATTCCCAAATGGGCAGCAATGGACAGCATTAAGAGTAGAAGAGAGAGTCAAAGCCACACATGTACAATGGAAGATTTTTTAGCACCACAGTCTGAGTACAGGGGAAAGTATTTTCATAGTGGAATACCACAAATAAATAAATAAAAATCTAGATACCACAAGAATGATAATTGCAATACCAAGAAGAATATTGGGACTTTCTGTAAGATCTGAATGTGATTAATAATTGTGAGAAAGATCTTCAGATATAAGGGGACACAGTGGTACAGAAGTCCAGAATGGTTTTTCAGTCCAGTTAGTAGCATCCTATGGAACTTGAATATGAGGCAGAACATTCCTAAACTGAACTCCTTAGAAAAAAAAAACACTGAAGCAAGCACTCCATGTGAGTGTCAAACCTTGAAAGGAGGATGGGGTTGACAGTGGTCCCTGGTCATGACTGATAATATTACCTTCAGTAACAGAAACAGTATGTCTCCCAACACTAGTTGCTAGGGCCCATGAGAAGGAGGATATTATGGCCTTTATGTCCTGTTTTTTTGGTTTCCAGTTGGCAACCAAAGGGCTACTGTGAGATCAGAATGCTGCACTAGATGGGTCTTTGGTGTGATCCAGCATGAATCTTTTTATGTTTTCTAGGGACATACATTGTACTCAAGCAAATTAAAGAGATTATGACACCGCCCTTTCCGCCCATACTAGACGTGGGATGTAAACTTCAATAGGTGGATTTTATTGCACACCCCCATGCTCAAGCAGTAGGCATCCCATCCCAGTCCAGAGAAGTTGAAGCTAAATTGCCAAATCTTAAAAATCTTGCCAGTAGAGTAGGGGTAGGCAACCTTTTTGAGCCGGGGGCCAGGTTGCTGTCCCTCAGACAATTGGGGGGGCCGAAGCACCAAAAATAAATAAATAAATAAATAAATAAATAAAAATTAAAATTAAAATATATGCATGCACACTTTCTCAGCCCCAGAAAAGCCATGGCAAAACCCGTGTGGAGATTTTGCCAAGAAAACCCCAAGAACAAGTAATAACAACAATAATCAATATCATCATGGTGGGCGGCGGTGGAGGCAGCAGCAGCAATACCAGCCTGGGGCTGGTCCAAAGGCCTAGGGGGGCCGCATCCGGCCCCTGGGACTTAGGTTGCCTACCCCTGCAGTAGAGGTCATACAGTATTTCAATACCATCACTTTTTGTGAAAATCCCATTCTTTGCAAAATGCAGGAGAAGCCTGGATTGGGTAAAGGATGCCTGGATCAGGTATGTGATGCCACCTGCCTGGGCACAGTAGTGTGCGCTAAAATTTGCCTATTGAAGTTTACATCTTCCGTCTAGCGCAGAAGGAAAGGGTGGTGCGATAATCTCCTAAATCAACAAAATTGGTTAAGGAACAAAGCACTGACTAGCAGAAGGCCAAAAGCTAATGCAGAACAACCAAGAGCTATGTAAAAAGACAAAGGAAATCAACAACCAACTACTCTAATTAATGCAGCAATGCTAAGTGTCCGCAACAGACTGGTTTCTTTTCCACTACAACACAGTGATACTTTAACTCCATTTTATGGAATCCTGGGATTGCAGTTTGGTGAGGCGGTTAGAATTATTTGCCAGAAAGCTCTAGGGCAGGGGTAGGCAACCTTTTTGAGCCGGGGGCCAAGTTGTTGTCTCTCAGACAACTGGGGGGCCGAAGCAACAACAACAAAAAATTATATATATATATATATATATATATATATAATATGCATGCACACTCTCTCAGCCCCAGAAAAGCCATGGCAAAACCCCTGCAGAGATTTTGCCAAGAAAACCCCAAGAACAAGTAATAACAACAATAATCAATATCATCATGGCGGGGGGGGCGGCGGCAGGGGGCGGCGGCAGGACCAGCTTGGGGCCGGTCCAAAGGCCTCATGGGGCCACATCCGGCCCCCCGGGCCTTAGGTTGCCTACCCCTGCTCTAGGGTCTAACAAACCCTACAGATCCTAGGACTCTATAAGAGGGAGTTATATTACATAAATTAGTAACAAAGTGCTATAATTGTATACTGTGAAAGAGAGCTTAATCTTCTAAGGTAATGTAATTGCAAATACAGAAGCTATGTCTGTGAAAGCATCATACAGATCCCTTCTTTATGATGAAGGGAATTCCAAACTTGGGAACTCCCAAGCTTCTGGAAGACTGTGTGAGTGTGTATTTAACTAAACTGGGGCAAAGGAGCAATTTATTTGTCCCCAAACTCCTGACTTTGTATCTCAACCACTCTGCTCCCATGTGCCCCCCAGCCCTGGTTCATATATCACCAAAGCAATAATTCCCCACTCCCTTATACCAAAGGGATTTTATTGAGTTATCTTATTTGAAAATATCAACATTATTTAATCACTGGTATTACATATGCATAAACTGAAGCAATTATTGAAAGCAGGTAGAAGGAAAGACTGGGATTTATTATCATCACTAAAGAAAAAGTGTGTCTTTTAAAATCAGAGTTCAAGTGATCTTTAAACATAAAAGAAGAAAACCTATAAAAATTGTAAAGAGCATACGATGGAGACAAAAATAGCATATAATTACTTCATCAAAGGCTTTCTGTTTGGTAATGTCTGGATACCAAACAAGATCCCCAAACTTCCTAGTTTTCCTTTGTTTCAAGATGCTGCTACCAATTTCCACAAGAAAAGGGTCACAAAAGACCATCAATCCTCTGGCATCAGGGTCAATCAATAACTGAAGAGTCATCAAAGAGTCTGTAAAAAGGGCTTCTGAAAATTGAGTGGGGATAGTATAAAATATGAGAGAGAGTATATCAGCAGCACAGCCAGCATGGTGTAGTGGTTTGAGCACTGGACTATGACTCTGTAGACCAGGGTTCTAATCCCCACTCAGCCATGAAAAACCACTGAGCAATGTTAAGCATGTCACACTCTCACAGCCTAAGAGGGAGGCAATGGCAAACCCTCTCTGAAGAAATCTTGGTAAGATAACCCTATGATAGGGTCATTTTGTGTGTGTTTATGTGCTTTCAAGTCGCTTGTCCCCTTAGGATCACCATGTCATAAATTATTTGAAGGCATATTGCCACCAACACCACAACATATATCCAGAACACTTGAAGGAAGAAGACAGTGTCACTGACACCTCTCATGGTTGTGAGAGAGAGAGAAAAAAGCACTATATGTGCATATACACATTAGTAAATGTAAGAAAATCAACTATGTATAGAGACTGGTAATCAAGCTTCTTAGTTTTCTGATAGAGAGGTCTTGAAACATGGGAAAAGTTTAAGCTAAGTTGCTACATCTTAAAAATCTTGCCAGTATAGGTTATGTTTCAACACCATTTTTGCAAAGTGAAATGAGGCCTGTTAACACATGGAACAGGAAAAAGAAAAAATAGTTGACATTTCTGGAGATGCTAGATTCCCTCATTTTTTAAGAGAACACTTCACATGAACAAGTTCCATAACACATTAGAGAAAGAAAGAAACAGACTAGAAATACAACTTCCAATTTACTTGATAAAGTATGAAATGAGTCTGAAAATTTAGAGAAGTAGTCTTCCAAAAGACTGTAAGGCAGAGTAAGAATCATGTGACCCTCCAGATTCTGGACTGCAACTGCCAGCGATGCTAGCTATCATAATAGTCAGGCTGGGAGTTGCAACCCAACTTCATCTGAAGGGCTGCATGATTCCCAGACTTGATGTGAAGGAAGCAGGGATTCCAGTATTTTATTTTATTATTATTCATGGAAAATTTGGAACTAATTTTCCCTATTTGGGGCCATGGAAAAATTCCAAGTTATTGGACACCAAGGAGGGCAGTAAAGCTCCTGCGCGGGACTTTGGAGGCCCAAAAAGTCCCCGATTAGGGCCTTGGAGGTCAGTAAAGCTCTCTCTCAATCAGGGCCTCAGAGACTGGTAAAGCCCCCACGAAGGAACTTGGAGGCCAGTAAAGCATAATCGGGGCCTTGGACTGACCACATGGGCCGAAACAGCGCCCGTGAGGGGCAAGGAGCCAACCTGGTGTCACACCTGCTTTTTGGGTGTCACCCCTTTCTGGGATGCCACCTGGGGTGGTCCGCACCCCCCCCCCCAGTGATACTACTGAAGGAGGGTACAGTGCTGCTGGGTGTGTACTGAAAATTCTCTAAGATGGGACCTTGCAGTGTCCACACAGAGGTGAGAAATGCTCAATATACTGTACATCAGGAATGGGCAAAGTGCACTACAAACTCTGGGCCTAAGCAGACGGCTTAATAGGCCGTCCTTGGCGCAGGGAAGGGGAGGGGCAGCCGCACGCTCAGCGCCCCATCCCCTTCCCGAGGTCATCCGCAGAGCAGCCAGCCCTCCGCACGGCTGGCACTCCGAGGAGGACCTCCCACTGCAGCGTCCAGACACGCTGCAGCGGAAAAGTCGCCAAAAGTGCACCGCAACCTTTTGCGGTGCACTTTCGGCAACATATGAAAGGAGCACTATTTTAGCGCTCCTTTCCAGGGGTGCCGACAGTGCACTGCTGGATCGAGGCATGGGGATGCCTCGGTCCCACGGCGCACCTTCCCAGGGCGGCCCATGGCCGCCCGTCTGCCTAGGCCCTCTGTTTTTGTGGCTCTCCAGATTCCTCTAGTTGCCCCTTTTCTGGCAAAACAAACAAACACAAAACAAAACAAAACACATGTGAATAGGTTGCAGGGGGTATCTTTCTCCCCAGTTTAACATTTAAAAAACACACACACACAACTCCTTTTCAAAGCTTGACATGAACTTCTAGACATTTTTGGTGTTGATAATTTGTAATTGTTGTAATCCAGAGGGAAGATTATTCTATGCTGTGGGTGCCCCCACATTAAATACCTACTCCAGCTGACTGCAGGGCAGTGGTGTCACTAGCTAGAGTGTCACCCAGTATGAGGGGTGTCAACTGTGAAGGTGGACATTTGCTTCTTCTCTTTTCCATCACTGGGCTTCCTCCCCAGGGAGAAAGCTCAGTGACAGAACAGCCAGGAAGGGCGAGTGTTTGCCCCTCTTGCCCTGAAGGGGAAAGAGGGCCCAACAGGGTGTCACCCTTCCTCTGGGGTGTCATCTGGTGTGGTCTGCACACATATCCCATGACACCACCGTTGCCTGGTAGACCTCAGAAAGGTGTGGCACCACTAGGAAGCCATAAATCTTCCAGTTGGGTGAAAGCCTTGCGATTTGATTGGAGTTAGAGTTGTCATTCTCATTCTTTCTCTGTGTGTGAGAGAGATTCCACCTGTCCTGATATTTTATCTTTAATTCCCAGTACTAACTGCAACTTTTTATTCCCATGGCACAGGCTAGGGTTTGTGTGTTTTTCGGTGCTTGGAGTTTTTGATATAGGACAGGGTAAATGTCATCT